ATCGTGGGTTCTGAACCTCTGGCCGTGGAGACGCATTTATTGCCTGGATAGCTGGTGAACCAACATCTCGAGCTGTCAGAATCCTTGTGAGAATGTCCACGTCTAATCACTCTGATTTTCATTACCAAATCCTGACTTCAGTCACTTCCCACCTTTCCTCATGCATTAAATGCTACTTTGTGGCCAATGGGTTTGCTGCATTAAACAGGCACTACTCCATTAAATGAAGCCTGGGACCCTGTTGTCACGTGATGATTTGCCTTTAATGCTTTGGCCGCAAATTTGTTCGGTCTCGGCCTCGGCCTACGTTTGAGGCCGAGATGATCATGCCTTAGCGTTTCTTCTTTTATTCTTTAAGGAAGGCGAATATGCCCTGGCGAAACGCTGCGTTTTAGCCTCTGCGAACAAGTGCCAGGGCCGAAAGAAAGGGCTCCTTCGGCCAGCTTGTGGCCGTGATTTATCAGGCACAAACACTTTGAGTAGCTAACTTTGAAGCATGTATTGGAATTAAATTGTTGTAGAACATAGGTCAATTGCCATATTGAATGTGTTCTTGTTTGCAACGAATAATTGGGTTAAGAACTAGTTATGAGAAATCAATTCTTGAATTCCTAATAACAAATGCCATGTTTTAGGGTTTTTGTGACACTCATATTCTCTTTTATCTTAATGGATTATTGATTGTTAATTTGAGTAAATGCCATACTGGATTTCAATTAAGAATACACGTATTGATGTAAATTCCATACACTTTAATACACTTAAGAGAGAATCATACAACTCGAGTCAAATGCCAGGATCTTGTTGTAGCGTTGTCATCATATGCTTGCTAGAAATTGATTATCTTTTGTTGTTTATGGATTGATTGATTGTTTGGAGGTGGATAGTGAGTCCTAGCTATTGTTCTCGACTGATTTTAAACCAATTTCTCTTAAACTCTAATTTAAATTTTCTTTTCTTTTCTTTTCCTTGTTTTGTTTTATTTACGAAATCAAATCAAAACCCCCCTTGGTTTTGGCGTGTGTGTGAAAGTCCTTGTGGTTTCAATCTTTATTTTGTTTCCGTGTTTAATTGTGTTTTAGTTTTCGTTGTGTGACGTTGATAAACATCTCTTTAGATTACAATCTCTGTGGGAACGACCCTTGCTTGCTTACTATACTATCATTTGATTTGACACTTGCAAGTTTTTAATATTGTTGTTAAAAATTACCAACAGGCAACCCCCACTGACGACCACACGCATAGGGATACCGACGATAAACCTGGAGTGTCTCGGGTATACATATCTACCTTATCAGGAGGGCCAACCCTGGCAGGGAACTCAAATCGAGCCATAAAAAGCTACACCAGGGTTACCGACAAGGGACTGCCGAGGTGATGTCGATCGAGTCAACCGAGCGCCCGCCTAAAACTCCCAAGATAGAATCTGAGCCGATCACGTTCACAGAAAGTGATACTATGGGTATCAATTTTCCCCATCACGACCCCCTGGTTATCACCGTTGAGATAGCCCATTGCGAGGTAGCTCGAGTATTCCTGGACGGGGGCAATTCAGTCAATATCATTTTTCTCAGCGTCTTCAGACAGCTGGGAGTTAGCGAGAATCTTCTTGACGAACAATGCCATGCCTTCATGGCTTTTGGTGGAAGGCACATGCCCTTGACCTTGTCAATAGGTGTACATCCGAGATACGCCACCATTACAACGGACTTCATCGTGGCTGAATGTCCCTCATCGTACAATGTCATCCTCGGCCGCCTCGCATAGGCGACCTCAATCTATCGATCAACATAAGGGCGGTGCTGATCAAATTTCCTACACCTCATGGGGTCGGCAATGTAAGGGGAGACCAAGAATCGGCTCAGACCTATTATGCCTCCTCAGTGAAGTTGAAAACCAAGATAACCTACGAAGCCTATTGCCTGGATGCCTATGGTGGTGCTACTTCCAACTATGCTACGGTTGTTGATCCCTGAGGAGAGATCAGCCTTGTGAATCCACAATCGGTGGAAAAGCTAGAACAAATAACGCCTTTTCCTAATCACCCGGATCGGCTCCCAGGTCACATCAAAAGTCCCCCAAGAACTTGTAAAGTTCTTAAAGGAAAATAGCGACGTGTTTGCCTGGTCCCATGACGATATGAGAGGAATTAGCCCGGAGGTAATCACCCACTGTCTCAGCATCAACCCACAGCACCAACCTATCCATCCGAAATGTCGAGCATACGACCCCATCAAGTACGCTGCCATGAAAACAAAAGTAGACAAGCTACAAAAAATCAATTTCATTCGCCCGATGGATTATCCTAGATGGCTGTCAAATGCGGTTATGGTCCAAAAAGCGCATGTGCGTTGACTTCACCAACCTCAATAAGGCATGCCCTAAGCACAGCTTCCCTTTACTGAGAATCAACCAGGTGGTTGATGCCATGGCAACGCATGAGTTCTTAAGTTTCATGGACATCTATTCAGGGTATAACCAAATCCGGATGCACCCAGCCGACCAGGAAAGCACTTCCTCTGTCACCGATCGTGGCACATACTGCTACCAAGTCATGCCATTCGAACTCGAAAATGCAGGGGCTACCTACTAGTGACTAGTCAATCGAATGTTTGCCTAGCAGATAGGCAATAGCATGGAAGTTTATGTCGACGATATGCTAGCAAAGAGTGTCAGTGCCGATCAGCATGTCGCCAACCTAGCCAAGACCTTTGCGATCTTAAGGGAATATGGCATGAAATTGAATCGGGCCAAATGTTTATTTGGGGTCGGCTATGATAAATTCTTGGGTTTTATGGTCAGCCACAGAGGCATTGAGTCTAACTCGGAGAAGATCCAGGCCCTTATTGGTATGACCCAACCCAGGACACGGAAGGAGGTTCAGAGCCTGACATGGCGAGTGGCGGCATTAAACTGGTTTATATCCAAGGCGATCGACTAACGCTTCCCGTTCTTCAAAGCCATTAAGGGGAATAAGAAAATAGTGGATTGAACGCCGGAATGCGCCTTGGCGTTCAAGAACTTGAAGGCGCAGATGGGGCAAGCCCCCATACTAACTAAACATGAGGTCGGGGACATACTATCACTATACCTATCTGTATCCCCCTCGGTGGTTAGCTCTATGCTCACCCGAGACTAAGACAAGATACAGCACCCGGTGTATTATGTAAGCAAGGCCTTGATCGATACAGAGATCTAATACTCGAACATTGCGAAACTGGCCCTGACTCTAATCGTCTCAGCTCAGAAGCTACGTCCATATTTCTAAGCACACTCCATCGCGGTCTTAACCGATCTGCCACTGTACCATCTTCTGCGAAAACCCGAAACATCTGGTTGGCTAATCAAACGATCGGTATTATTAGGAGAGTTTGATGTCACCTATCAGCCGCGCACGGGCATGAAGGGACAAGCCATTGCTGACTTCATCTCAGAGTTCACACCACTAGCATTTGTAACCACACCACAATCTCCTGAGGCAGTCCCAACCCCAGCGCCAATGAGGCCGAACGCAGCCCCTATCACCAACCCGATCCTACCGCAATGGACCCTACCCTATACATGGATGGCGCGTCTAACTTACAAGGATGCGGTGCAGGACTGGTTCTGATCTCCCCTGGTGAGATCACGGTGGAATATGCTCTCTGATTTCAATTCTAGACATCCAACAATGAAGCAGAATACAAAGCCCTCCTCACAGGACCACCTGGCAAAAGAACTGGGGGCTGAGCACATCAATGTAAACATTCACAACTTGTGGTTTACTAGGTAATGGATGAGTACCAAGCTCGAGTGCAGCATATGACCGCTTATGTCCAAAAGGTCAAAAACCTCCTCTCTTCCTTCCGATCATATACAATCACCCAGATTCCACGTACATAAAATACTCGAGCCAACTCATTAGCTCGACTCACCTTGGCCCTAGATACAGAGCTCACTCGAACAATCCCTATTAACCTAGCGGAAAAAAGCATCGATCGAACAAATTACTTAATTATGGCCTTGGATGAGGCGCCAACCTGTATGACCCCAATATGGGAGTTCCTCACCAACGATGTTCTAGCCCAAGGTAAGATCTAGGCCTGGCAAATCCAGGCGAGGGCTACTCGCTATATTATCATAGGGGAAAAGTTATACAAATGAGACTACCCCTTGCCCCTATTGTTATATGTTACCCCGAAGAAATGAATGGAAGCCCTTCAGGAAATTCATGAGGGGATATATGGCGACCATGCTGCGGCCCAATCAATGACAAACAAGGTTATGCGACAGGGATACTTTTGGCTAACCATGGATACTTTTGGCTCCGATCTGAAGATCAATCTTCATTTCTCTTCCCTAGCCCACCCGCAAGCAAATGGCCAGGTAGAAGCTGATAACAAACTCCTCAAGCATACACTCAAGAAAAAGTTGGGGACTAAGAAAGGGACTTGGTCGAAACTCCTACCAGAGGTCCTGTGGGCCTATCACTGCACTGAGCGCAAGTCAATAGGGGAAACCCCATATTCACTTGCTTTTGGAGCAGAAGCGGTCATTCCTGTCGAGGTCGGTATCCCCACACACTGAGTCGACCACTTGCAGTATGGCTGCTTCATCTGAAAAAGGCTCGGCTCAACCCAAGATTGGCTCCTTGAGTTGAGAGTTGGGGGGCTACTGTTAATGGTTCATATCATCATTATAAGCCGAGCCTATCAGAGAGCACCACGTGGCCACAAAAGGCTAGATCGTCCTTTTACCAACACGACCATGTTGACCACCCCAGGTGTCGATAAAAGGCCTCCTAGCTGAGCCTGTCAGGAGATACCATGCAAACTAGTGGTCAGGCACTCATACACCGACCTGACCACTGAGATGTCGTATGACCAAAGACAAAGGCATTGATGTTATGACACAACCAGACCCCTATCAAGTCAGTCACTTCGCGTGCCTAATGCCAGCATAATGATGGAAGGGATCATTTGATGGGCTTCACATCCAAGTCAGGTGTCGCCTTGCTAGTTGACCCCTGGTAACCAGCATGGTGATAGGCGCCCATGATTGCTCTCGAATCCACCATTGGGAAGGGCTAAAGATAAAGATCTCCTTTCTTGCAAGATTTAAGGAGATCTGATCTCTTCTTCTCCCCCTATAAATACCCCTCACCTGTATTAGGACAAAGGTAATAAATATTCTCATCTTGAAACTCTCCATCCTTCGCTCCACTCTAAAACCACCTCTAACTTAGCCATCGGAAGGGGATCAACTGGGATCCAACCAGTCTGCCCCTCTTCTAATTGTTGCTTGAAGCCCTAACCTTGGCCCAAGTCAAGGCCACCAATACAACAAGAGAGACACCCAGTTAACATTACGAATGAACAAAACAATCAATGATGAAACATTGTAGTACACTGTAATTCTTGAGCCACATATAAGCTAAATGGCTATTAAAAATTATAATAATCTTCCCCAGCCAAATTTTCTAAAGAACATCATAGCACAAGCCATTAAATGTGAACTTTCAGGAGGACAAAGGAAATCTACATTGAAGGAAACATGCATCTAATGCTTAGGAAATCGACTTTAGCCACAACCTATACAAAAAAAACATTCTAAATGGCAAATTCATTTTGTTTATACTAGTTGAGCTAAACCTTTTTCATTTTAAACCAAGTATCTTAGCCTAATCTCTTTGAACACAAATAGAAAAGGGAAAAAGGGAATAGATCTTTACCTTTGATGACTTTTTCTTGATTTCTCAAGAATGAACACATTTGTTGGAAATGCCTTTTCTTTCTCTTGATTTTGACTCATTCACCTTAAGGCTCCAAGATTGGAGTCCTCTACCTTACCACACCAAATGCTCCTAAAGGTGAAGATAAGGAAATCAAGAAGTATGGATGCTAGTCTACTTCTTGATTGGACCAATTTTTGGTTTATGGAAGATGAGATATAAAGATGATCACTCATCAACCAAAGTAGGAAACCAAAAACCCTAGCTAAGTTTTCTCCAACACTTAGCTTAAATAGGACAACACAAAAAAGCAAGTGGAGAGCTCCCCCTTAGGTGCCGAATTTTTGGGTGGGTATTGGGGCTTCATTTGGTCCATGGGTCATGTCATCTTATGCCACTTATCCCTTGGGCCCAAAGCTTTTTAGGGTATTTTGTCCCTTTTCTTTTAAATCATATTTAAAAGCCCAATCCAATATTTCTATATGTCAATATTAATCTTTTAATTATAATTTAACTATTAAATTATAATTATAGTCTTACACAATTTGACTTTGGTTAATTGCTCTGGTCAACATGTTGACTTTTGACCGTTGACTTTGGCATTTGATTATCAACCATTGACTTGTGTCTCCTCATTTCATTTCTCCACAATTTAATTCTTCCTATTAATAAAGGTTAATTGAAACCTTTTAGAACATCCACAAACCATGGTTGTCGCCTAGCAAGCAAGTCACGGTTATCCGAGCTAAATGAGACGTTGTGAAAGAACCTATTCAAATTGGAATGATGATGCAATTGAATCTTTCTCCTATGTCAATACTCCTTATTCACATTATTAGATCATGGAATCCAATTGTCAATATCCTAATGTGAATAATTCCTTTTATATGATTATCCTGGTAAGATTTGAAGACTTCTTCTTTCAAGTCTTATCCACTACTCTGTGTAGAGATTTGACCAATCATATCTTGAGTATTCTCTCTCCTTTACTGAGAGTAGAGATTCCTTATTATACATTCATTTGCTTCCATCACTCTATTGAGAATCCTGATGAGCA